AACTGGGAATGCCTTCGTCTCTGCAGAAAGGAGTGGTCACTCTTCTCAGGGACTATGAAGTGTGCAAAGAAGGCGTTGCTCTCACCTCAGAACAGGCCCGGCTTCTGGTAATACCCGAGTTATATACAGTACTTCCCATGTGTTTAATTAATTGCGACGTTTTTTCTCTTCAGAAACTGTTAGGCAATCAAATGTCAGAATTTAAGATCACTTTAGACGCCGTCTGGGAATCGGACGGATATTTTGAAGAATACGTGCCTTTCGTTCGGCCGGAAGTGTCCGAAAAGACTGACGATTCAGTGAAACGCCGCAAAAGTAAGCGATCGAAGAATAAGAAGAGTAAAGAAGTCGTCGAAACTAAAGAAGAAGAAGAGATGAGTGAAGACAATGACGACGAAGAGGCGGAACAGATGACTGATGACGACGACGACTGATTTCAAACACCAATTAATTGCCAGAACCTCACGATTAAACTCTAATTTTTATTTAATTTAATATTGTTTTGAATCATAGCTTGAATTAAATTTTATAAACATTAAAATTATTTTTATGTCAAAAGTAATAATTTATTTAAAATACAGTATAACCCCGATATACACGACTATACGACAGGGCCAGTAGAGCTTCTATTATTCAGTTCAACGCCTTTCGGGCAATACAATACTAACAATACAGAATATTGGTATTGGTAATGCCATACTAGCAATATTGGCAATATTCCTATAATATTCTTGCAATATTTGTCAAAACCAATACAATATTGTGAGACAATACCGAAACGATAACAAAACCCAAAATTTTTTCAATCACTAGTGAGAATGGAGAGGGAAAATAAACGCGTAATCTAGTAATGACCACATTCTTCATTAGAAATTGTTGTTAAAAATTCATTAGTGTTGTGAAAAAATATTATTTTATTTTATTCGAAATTTTAGCTTCAAAATAAAAATCTATGATATTCTGTAAAATAATTGTGCAAACATTTCCTCAGACAACTCACTTACTGTCTCGACATTAAAAATATTGATAGTATGGAAGTACAATGCTATGTAAATTGTATCATGGTTAAAGCATTGCTTATAATATAAATATACATATTATGTGGTAATATTTTCCAAAATATGTAATATAATATGTGGTAATAAGTTAAGAAATATGTGACAATAATCGAAAAATATGTGGTAATAAAATCACGAAAATTTTCGGTTTATGCTCTTAAAACATTGAAAATATTTATTTTACTTTAGCAAATATCTACATAGTTTTTCTGATAATATTCAATAGAAATATTTAGATTTACTTATAAATACTTTTTGTAAAAGTTTGGTTTTTCCGACTTTTGTCTATTTTAACTGACAATAATATTTTTATTGATAAATATTCTCGAAGTGTTACAAAAAATTAATAATTACTAGAAATATCAATTTTGCATCAATTGTTTTTGTAAAGTTCTTGACAATATCATACAATTTTCACTTATTTCACCGATTTTTCCATAATATGTGGTAACAAACAAAATATGTAATTAGTAATTAATTAATTCCTAATTACATGTATTTATGTGATAAGTTATATATGTGATATGTAAGTTTAAATGATAATAAATAGGTCTTAAAATATTCCTTATCATATGATTTGGATAGATGTTTAAGCTAGAACTCGATATCTCTTACCGCTTAAAATATGTAAAGACAACTCTTTGACCATGGTTAAATATTTTAATACCGTATTTAATTTCAATATAAATTAGTATTTTATTAAAATATTTTGTACATTATATGCTAATTAAATATAAAATTGGGGTACAAATGAACATAAAATAAAGCAAGGTTATTTGTTATAAAACAATAAATCAAAACTTAAACTTATAATAAATAAAAACCACATTTTTTTACAAAAGTTTAAAATATAAATCACAGATCAATTTATGGCGTAATATTAGATCCCAAAAGTGACTGTTTTTCAGGATTTTTGCTTAATTTTGTAGTTTTTCTTAACATCATATAAATAAAAAGCAGTAAAACCTGAAATAAACAAATTAAATCATAAAATTAAACCAATTTATATAAATTCATACCAATATAACATCGATCATAAGTATAACAAAAGTTCCGCTCCTATAGCCTACTGTCTCGATAAGATAACCGCCGAGTGTGGGCCCAATAAATGCACTAAATTAACACATTTTATTAATTACCATTTTAACAGCGAATGAAATAATATTCTAATACCCCATAGAGTTGGCCGAGAAATACATGGCCGACACTAAGCCGTAAGTCGATATATTGTCGGGAAAGCCGCGCCTATGGATCGCATCGTTTAACGCACTGATGAACGCTGTGACCAATTTGGAGGCCAACCCAAACCCAATGAACACCAGAGACAGAGTAATTAACCATAATTGTCTGCATAATTACAAAACCATTATATAATGGTAAATATCGTTTAATTATTATAGTCATATCGATTACATGTAAGCGTATACTTACGGCTCAAACTCGATGAACTCTTGAGGACCGATATATACGTAACCGACAATAGATAACAGACAACCAAATAAACAAAGTTTTTTCGGATCAATCTATGGTTTGGATATTCATATGGTTTAGAAATAGGTATTTAAATAATTAATATTAGTGTCACTCAACTCCTTTGTCGCACAGTTTCCCCCAAATGGGTGTAATTATCGCATGAGTTAAGCCAAATATAATGAATACTAAGCCAATTAAAACTGGCCTTAAACTGGAAAATTGTGAATAATGTAAAATAATGAGAAATCTGTGTTTTATAAGTATCTAAAAATATTACTTAAATTGTCTCAGATGTGGCTCAAGTGTGGCCGCATTAAAGCCTATGAAGTTCAGTGATGTGGCGATCGCCAGGGCGTCCAACAGTACTCCCGAGTCTGACATAAATGCTATAAAATTTCCCGATTCCTGTTCCGGGGGTTTATCACACGTTTCGAGCAATAAAAATGTGAAAACACCGCCCAATAGTAGGAACGAACCCAACACTACAAACGGCAATATAAAGCCTCCCCATTGATAGAGCGCTCCCCCGAGTGTTGGCCCTAATATGAGACCCAAACCGAAGAATGTCTGCAACAGTGAGAAAGTGGTGGCGATTCTGTCGGGAAACTCTTTGGTCATTATAGCGTATGAGGCGGTCATGAATGCGGCCGAAGAGACGCCTTCAATGATGCGGACGACGAAACACATGATAATAAAATCATTGCCGATCTCCAGCCTATCTAAGAGTCCGAACAAAACAGTACTGATTCCCGATATAAAGAGTCCTAATTCGCAGAATAGTATCGGAGACACGGATGCAATCATTTTGCCAAAGAGTGGTGAAGTGACGGCAATCATCAGCTCATAGACGCCAAACACGAACCCGTATTGAGTGGGAGTCGCGCCTAAAAATAGATAATATTCATAGAAATATACAATTAATAAGCGACGATAAAAATGCAATTTATATATTATATCAAAACTATAATTTAATTAATATTCAGCGATTCATACCTTTAGATTCAGCTTCTTTAGGAAAGAAGGGCGCCTGAAGGCTAACACAGGCCGCCACCCAAAAGTTGCCATAAGATAGTAATATTAATATTAAAATCTGGTATCCGTTGAGTGATTTTAAGCTCTTCTTGCCGTTTAACTCCTCATCACTCTTATAGATATCGTTTGGACACAAATGAATTGTATGCGAATACTTATTGTTGTTTTCAGCCATCGCTTCTTTGTTGTGATTAAAGTCATTGGGAAGAGAATCACATCTTTGCAAATACCTCTTCTTCTCCTCTTCGGTTGTTGCCATTGATTCAGTAATTAAACTCATATTTAGACAAAATCTTATTTCTGTGCTCACATTGAGTGCTAACAAAATCAGTTTAAAATA